AGGTGAGAGGGGGTTTCGGGACGAAGGGACACATATACACCTGTGGCTGATACATGTCAATGTATGACAAAAACCACCACAATATTGTAAAGTAATTAGCCTCCAATTAAAATAATTAAATTAAAAGTAAAAAAAAAATCTTTGGGCTCATAAATCTATGAATACCTCATCCCTCCACCCTGGCTGCTGGTACCCAGAGCACAGTGAAGGGTGGTAATGATGGAGTTAGAGTTTCTGTTTGTTATGCATGAACTGGTTAGCACTTTATGTGTATGATTTCATTTAATTTCCTTTACCATCTTTTTATGTTGTTGGTATATCCCAGTTTTTACTAAGATTGAGAGTGGGTCTTACACTCCCTGTTAATATTCAGGAAGACTTATCCTAAACCCTGTCTCAGCACAATACTGGGCTAGTGGAATATCCCCTCCAGGTGTAGGCTGTCATTCTCTGCAAACTAAAGAATTTTTCTGAATTGTGAAAAATCGCCATTTCTCTCAAGTGAAAGATTTCATCTGAGAAATTTTTTTATTTGTTCATATGGATTTATAGACTTTGGATAGAATTTCCCTAATGGTGTGCTCAAAATGGGAAATATATAAAAATAACGATTCTCCTTATTTGGAGGGCAACAGGACTTGAGTCACTTGCTTCTGAGACAATATGCTTCTTTCTATAGACCCATCATTGTCTCTGTGCCAGTGTGACAGAGATACGTAAACACTGGCCATGGTGATGTGGGTCATGAGATGGGCCTGAAATCCAATCAGATGGGGGAATTATGTGTGTAGCTTGAACTGGGCATTTTGGAATTCTTGGGAATGTAGGAGAAAGGAATGAGGTTGGCTTCAAGGAAGGGATGTGTATTGCACACCAGAATCTTTTGTTTCTTTCTTCAAATGACTTTTTGCTTACATACTATTTTCATCTTCTGCCAACTTATATAAAGGGTTTGAGATAGCTGGCAGTAAAAGATTCACAAATGTATATACATATAACTGTAAACCCATACACTGTTTATGTATATAAAATATTCAGTCTACAGTGAGGGTGGCTATAGTATTACCTACAAGTAGATGTTAGAGACATCCTCTTTGAATTGCTTCAGAATTTAGGAGCAAGAAATATGAAGGATGTAACCTAACTTTGGAGCTCTGAGAGCGTTAATAAGGGGTCTTCAATCGGTACCTAAAGAAAATGCATTGGCTCAGCTTCTGTGGAGCCCTTCATTTTGATTTTATCTCTGCTTCCCAGGTTGTCGGCCAGGCTGATTTAGTTTTAAAAGTCCCTCACCTGGGAAGAGCCAGATTATTGAAACTGATGAATGTTGTCCATCAAATGATGTGGGTCTGTAAAAAACTGTAATTTGGATTTTTTATCGACATTTTGACAGGATTTTTTGATAACCAACAATGGCAAGCCAAGTGACTTAAGACCAGACATAGAAGGAGCTGGCAGGACCCCTCCCCATGAGCATGAAAGTTGTAGCAGGTGGAATGCATACTTAATGCAGTGGCTGTAAGCATCGTTTATCTGTAGGTCTCATAGCAGAGAGGTCAGTCAGGCCTATTTTTTTCCAGTTATGACTAGAACGTATTGCTTCAGAATCCCATCCTCTTCACTCTGGGTTTCATTTTGATACCACAGCAGATGTGGGTGAAACAGGAAAAGCATGTGGGTCCCCATCCAGATAATACAGTTTAGTTCCCAAGGGCTCCTGGACACAGAGTCACAGTTCTGGATGTTTCCTCCTCCTTCGAGGATCCTCCTGCCTGTGGCTGTGGCTATAGGATTCCCTGAGTCAAACTGCTCCTGTCTTTCTCCTTGAGCTGCAGTCCTTCCTGGGAAAACAGAACAATGACTTGCCCTCCCATCTTTATGCCGTATCTGTAAATGAAAGTGAAGTTCTTACTTTTCTGATTCACAAGATGGTTGTGAAGATCCTCTGAAAATACTGACCAGGAGGAGCTGTGAAATGATAACCCGAGTCTCTGTGATACAGACATTACCCTCCTAATCCATCCCTCAGAGTTGCATCTGGGCCAGCAGCCTGGGTGACAAGGTGGGGAGGCCCTGGGGTGGCGAGCATGGGATGCAGGTGCTGGTGCTGAGAGAGCCCAGAACAACCAGTGTTAACTCAGAAAAGCATCTTAATCTTCTCATCTCAGTTCCTTTTGGTCAAAATTTCCATCAATTGTAGTTACTGCCTGCAAGTTATTCTTGCCACTCTTTCTGTTTTTCTTTTCTTTCATTTATTTATATTAGTTGGAGGCTAATTACTTTACAATATTGTAGTGGTTTTTGCCATACGTTGACATGAATCAGCCATGGATTTACATGTGTTCCCCATCCTGAACACCCCCTCCCACTTCCCTCCCTATCCCATCCCTCTGGGTCATCCTAGTGCACCAGCCCCGAGCACTTGTCTCATGCGTCCAACCTGGACTGATGATCTGTTTCACAGTTGATAATGTACATGTTTCAATGCTATTCTCTCAGATCATCCCACCCTCGCCTTCTCCCACAGAGTCCAAAAGCCTGTTATATACATCTGTGTCTCTTTTTCTGTCTTGCATATAGGATTATCATTACCATCTTTCTAAATTCCATATACATGCATTGTATACTGTATTGGTGTTTTTCTTTCTGGCTTACTTCACTCTGTATAGTGGGCTCCAGTTTCATCCACCTCATTAGAACTGATTCAAATGAATTCTTTTTAATGGCTGAGTAATATTCCATTGTGTATATGTACCACAGCTTCCTTATCCATTCGCCTGCTGATGGGCATCTAGGTTGCTTCCATGTCCTGGCTATTATAAACAGTGCTGCGATGAACTGTGGGGTACACATGTCTCTTTCAGTTCTGGTTTCCTCAGTGTGTATGCCCAGGAGTGGGATTGCTGGGTCATATGGCAGTTCTATTTCCAGTTTTTTAAGGGATCTCCACACTGTTCTCCATAGTGGCTGTACTAGTTTGCATTCCCACCAACAGTGTAAGAGGGTTCCCTTTTCTCCATACCCTCTCCAGCATTTATTGCTTGTAGACTTTTGGATAGCAACCATTCTGACTGGCATGAAATGGTACCTCATTGTGGTTTTGATTTACATTTCTCTAATAATGAGTGATGTTGAGCATCTTTTCATGTATTTGTTGTAGTCTTTCTATTTGTTAAACCAGCCTGTAAAATTCAGCCATAAGTCTCTTCTTAGAATTGCCTAAAAATGTTCCTGAATTCTTCTCTGTTTCTCCAGCACTCTGCCTTTTGCAGATCACCATGAATTTGTATCCACCTGAGATTATAAACTTCAGAGGCCTTGCCCCAGACTGAATCTGCACATCCCCACAATCCCACCCCACTGTCATAGCAGGCAGACACTAAATGTTGATTCCATTCTTAAAAAATAAGGGTATCATACTTTTCCTGATAAAGATGGATGCTTACATCAGCACAACCAATGATTTTGTTTTCTCTTCTACCTGCTGTTTTTTTTGACCAAGATTATTTCCCAAAATAGAATAATTTCACAGGATAATGTGATGATTAAGAGAATGTTCATGGAACTCTTTTTTTTTTCCATTTATTTTTATTAGTTGGAGGCTAATTACTTTACATCATTACAGTAGTTTTTGTCATACATTGAAATGAATTAGCCATGGATTTACATGTATTCCCCATCCCGGTCCCCCCTCCCACCTCCCTCTCCACCCGATCCCTCTGGGTCTTCCCAGTGCACCAGGCCCGAGCACTTGTCTCATGCACCCAACCTGGGCTGGTGATCTGTTTCACCCTAGATAATATACATGTTTCAATGCTGTTCTCTTGAAACATCCCACCCTCGCCTTCTCCCAGAGTCCACAAGTCTGTTCTATACATCTGAGTCTCTTTTTCTGTTTTGCATATAGGGTTATCGTTACCATCTTTCTAAATTCCATATATATGTGTTAGTATACTGTAATGGTCTTTATCTTTCTGGCTTACTTCGCTCTGTATAATGGGCTCCAGTTTCATCCATCTCATTAGAACTGATTCAAATGAATTCTTTTTAATGGCTGAGTAATATTCCATGGTGTATATGTACCACAGCTTCCTCATCCATTCGTCTGCTGATGGGCATCTGGGTTGCTTCCTCATGGAACTCTTAGCACAGTGTCTTACATACAGTAAACATACTGGTAAATGGGATCTGCTGTTGTTACAATCATTAACCTTTGAAATAGTCATTTTAAATACTTACTATAATGATAGAAAGTTGGCTATATATTGGGGCAACTTTAAATATGTCATGAAGACTCATGACATGGGCCTCCCGTGACTTAGGCTTTGCAGTGTCCATCAATTTGCTTTTCCTCTCCCTGAGCCTCACTCTCTCCATCTGTAAAATGAGACAGCACTGTTACTAGATAGAGCTATTGTGAGGATTAAAGGTTAATACATGTGAAGGTTTGAAGGTATAGCTCTGTACACAGTCAACACTCAGTAAATATTAACTATGGATAGAAAATCTGGAAAGAGGAAGTCCTACTTCCAAAGGTCACCATTTAAATTTTGTCCTACTTTTTTGGACAGTGAATTTGTAATTAACTACTTCTTTATCCCTCCATGCATACCTGAGGCGTCTGGATTCCTCACCTGTGATGCCTGCTTGCTCATCTGTCTACTAACACCTGCTGACTCCCAATAGTTTGGGATTCAGCTCCTACTCTCTGATCCTCAAATATTCTTATCTGTTAAAAGTAGTAATGCCTGCCTCATGGGGCTACTGAGTGTATCACAAGAGCTGATACTTATAAAGTTCTTACGAGAGTGTTTCACACATGTACTAAATATCATAAAGATCACCTATAATTTTATTTCTTTGGAAGGGAAAGCATTCTATGCTGTCCCAACAAGTCTTTTTGAGGAAAGGAGTTTAATCCCAACAAAACAAACCATTACAGTTTATCTTTGAAAAGTACCCTTCAAAGGAGGCCTCTGTATCTATTTTTGCTATTTCAGACATTTCTTCTTGTGGTTGGCGTGGTGGGTGTGATGGTGGCTGCTATTCCTTGGATTGCTATACCTGTGATTCCGCTTGGCATCATTTTCTTTGTTCTCCGGTGGTATTTCTTAAGAACGTCACGAGATGTGAAACGCCTGGAATCAACAAGTGAGTACCGGGGCTCTCAGGTTGGGATGGCAGTGCAGGCTGGCTTCCGTTTATGCCATAATTAACAAGACCCTTGAAATTCTGCAGACTCTGTCTTCTGGAATTTCTCACAAGTCAACATTAGATAATTGAATGTTATGGCCACTGTGAGTCGGTGTGGTTCTTAAGGCAAATATAGCTGGTGGCAGGTCAGCTGCACTTTGCGTTTTAGCACAAGGAGGACGGATGTGAGCACCATGAGGACAGGGACCATTTCTGTCTTGTTCACGACATACTTCCTAACACAGATTATCCACTCTATTAATACTATTCTTAAAAATATTTCATCATTTTGGAGCTAATTTAGAAGGAAAAGAGACAATTTTTCTCCTCTTGAAGTTACCAAAAATGACAAGGAAACAAAAAGATTAGAAAAGGAAAGGAGACCTCATGAAATATATGTCAGAGGTGATATATTTGAAAAATACTTTTTTTCACATGTTCAAGTAAGTTACAGTTTTTTTTAATTTATTTTAATTGTAGTCTAGTTACTATACATTATTGTAGTAGTTTTGTGTTGAAAAGACATGTTAGTCACTCAGTTGTGTCTGACTCTTTGTGACCCCGTGGACTGTAGCCCACCAGGCTCCTCTGTCCATGGAATTCTCCAGGCAAAAATACTGGTGTGGGTAGCCATTCTCTTCTCCAGAGGATCTTCCCAGACCCAGGGATTGAAGCCAGGTCTCCTGCATTGCAGGTAGATTCTTTACTGTCTGATCCACCTATTGAAAAGCCCTGTTGAAAAGATAAGCCCTGTTATTTTCAGGTTTGCTCTTTATCATTACTAGTATTTGGGGTGATACCACACTGTTTGTGGTCCCCCACTTCTTAAAGCTATTCACATAAAGAATGCTGAAAAGAATCCTTTAGGAGGACACAAGAGGGGGATCTGTTCAGTATTCATTTAGTTTATTACTCCCTTTAGCTTCCTAGTTTTAGAATAATGGGAACAGGGACTCCCCTGCGGTTTGTGGTTAAGTCTCTGTGCTGCTGCTGTGGGGGCACAGCTTCAATCCCTGGTCAGAAAGCTAAGAACCTGCAAGGTGCAGCAAAAAAAATAGAATAATGGGGATCACATTTTATGACTAATCATTCTATTGTGCAGGTAATCACAGATGATTAAATAATTGGATTTATCTAATTATTAATGCACATATTTCATCAATATTAAAACTAATAAGGAAAGTAGAATTATTATATATTTTTAAAAACTATAGCCAAAAAGTAAGGAAGGAATATGTTAGTATCAGAGACCTCAACCATAAATAATTGTTGCAAAATTAATACCAATTTAACCTTCTAGAAACCAAGCCAAGAAGAGAATCATATTGAGACCCATGGTTCTTTGTATCTACCTTCAGTTCATCCAGTCAAAAGAGTGTTTCCCCCACCCCCCAACTGTGGCATTTGCATATTTTGTTTTATAATAAACACTTAAGGGTTTTCCCTGGTGACTCAGATGGTAAAGAATCTTCCTGTAATGCAGCAGACCCTGGTTCGATCCCTGAGTCAGAAAGTTACCCTGGAGAAGGAAATGGCAACACACTCCAGTGTTCTTACCTGGAGAATTTCCTGGAGAGAGGATCCTGGTGGGCTATAGTCCATTGGGTCACAAAGAGTTGGACACGACTGAGCGACTAACACTTTCACTTTTTAAAGAGATCTTTATTCTAATTAGTTGCAAAAAGGATAGTGATCATCTGTTTCATAAAAGGTGTAGAAAAAAAATTTCAGTCATCAAGAGAACCAGCTAACTTTTGTAAGGTCCAGTTTTGTGAGGTGTTTGGATGGATGGGGAGCAGTAGAGTCCAGGTGTGTGTGATGTTCTGCTGATGTGACTTGGTTGATGGTAGGAGCTGGGGAGGCAGAAGAGGAAGTGATGAGCTCCATCCAGTCTTCTGTGAAGACAAGGCTTCAGACATTTTATGGTTTGAGGCTGCCCATGAAATGGGGTCATTCAAGAGTCCTGCTGAAAAGCAGCTCTCTGGTACATTCACTGAGGGGTTATTCCAGAAGGAACACTTGACAGAGATTTTTCATTTCCCATCCATACAGAAGTGGAGAGAAGGGCATCTCCTGAGACTTTTTTCCAAGAACCAGTACAGGATTTTCTCAGTATTTGAGCTGGAGAATCTGAGAACTTTGGTATCATCTCTGTGGAATATTTGGATTTTCTTGCATCCTAGTCAGAGAAGGCAATGGCGCCCCACTCCAGTACTCTTGCCTGGAAAATCCCATGGATGGAGGAGCCTAGTAGGCTGCAGTCCTTGGGGTCGCACAGAGTCGGACATGACTGAAGCTACTTAGCAGCAGCAGCAGCAGCATCCTAGTAGTCTGCAATAAATTAGACACAAAATTCAATCCAGATACCCCTTCCTCCACACCCCAGATAACCATATGTGGTGGCCAGTTGATTTGAACTGTTTATGTTCTCCCTAGGTGGTGGGTATGTGCCTTAAATGATGACACCACTTTTTTATCTAAAATAGTTACTGATAGTATGTTTTAGGGCTTTCCAGGTGGCTCAGTGATAAAAGAATCTGCCTGTCAATGCAGAAGATGCAGGAGAAATGGGTTCAGTCTCTAGGTTGGGAATATTTCCTGGAAGAGGAAATGGCAGCCGACTTGAATATTCTTGCCTGGATAATCCCATGGACAGAGGATCCTGGCGGGTCCAGTCCAGGGAGTCAGAAAGAGTCAAACACAATCTAGCAACTGAGGGAGTGAGAGTATTTCTTAAGGTCCCTGCTGGAGCCACCAGCAAAAAGGACACCTGACTGCTGTGGCCAGAAGGCATAAGCCTGCTCCAGCCTTGTGCTCTGAAGGACGACTGAGGCTTAATTTCAGATCCTACTGCCTAGCTGCCTCTGGAAGCTTAGGTTGGCATTTTCATCTTATTGACATATTGGCAGCTAATTATAATAGGGTTGGAGGGGCACACATTTGCAAAAGAGAGCATAGCAATGGTCAGTCATGGACAAATACATAAAACCAGGGTGGCATTTGGCTGCCTTTCTCTAGCCAGCCTTTTGCATTTGGCAGTGCCTTAATGATGAAGCCATATACAAATTCTGGCTGAAAAAGTGCTGGGATCAACTAGCAATGTCTGCTATGAGCATTGCTAGGGGAGGGTTAGCACGTGTGTCAGATGTATTAGGACCATGGATCATCATCAACTCTGCTGTTTTAAGGAGCTCTCATACTAGATTCCCAGGAACTTTGTTCAACCTCGGGTGCTTAATAAGATGTGCAGTAATGGTGAAGGCTGTTGGATGTTAGCTGAGTAAGATTTGAGGGTTTTCTGAACATAAATAACAAAGTCTGAAGAAAAATTTCACATCATCACACACGGGCATCCTTAACCCTGATTATTCTCCCCCTGAGACACTGCTGTTGTGATTAAAAGCACAGCCTCGGGAATAAGAAAGTTGGGTCTCACACCCAGGTCTATCGCTTAGGTGGGTTAATATAGTTAATCTTGGGTACTCAGTGCCCTTAATCCCTCAGTCTCTGGAGTTCTCATGAGGATTTCTTGAATCGATGCTTGTAAAGTACTTGCTGATCATAACCAAAGGCACTGGAACCTTGAACATGAGGGCATCACGAACTTACTCACAACTAGCAGGTCTCACATAGCTTGAAATGTAATCTGTAGCAGCGCTGTCAGCCCAAGGTCCCCCTGCCCAGGAAGATCTGCAGACCAGGTGGGGTGTGTTCCCAAGTGTCCTCAGGGTTGAGAGAAATACAGGTGTCAGTCCTGTGAACTGTAGGGTTATACATGTCTGTGACTGTGGACTGACATCATGACTGTGCCATAATCTGCTTCAGGATAGTGAGCTCAGTGCTTGTGGGAAAAGTGATACTTTGGGCAGCACACCACTGGAGCCTTGACATCCCCTCTCCCCCTGTACTAGCTAATGTCTTTGAAGATCCTCCAGTTCACTCATCCTGGCATCCTGCTCAGCCCTAAATGGGATTTGAAAGAAACAGGATGACTTTTCATGGGTCCAGATTCACTCAGCCTGTAACTCCTAGACATGAGGTGAGGTAGGTGATGAATGTTTGGTTCCCTGGGTTCAAGGCTGAGATGACATCTGGTTTTTACAGTCGACACCACCCTCCATCCCTGCTGGAGAGAATCAGCTGTGCTTTGATCTCCTGACAGAGAAGCAGGAGAGGAAGGCCATGCTGAAGATTTCACTCCAGGATCTCCCTGGGGAAACAGCCATGTCTGCTTCCTCCTCAGAAGCCTTGTCTGTGATGAATAGTGTTGATTTCACAACATTTGCTCTGTAAACAAGAGCCTGGTTCTAGTGAGTTTTCTGTGCTCTCTGGAGCTGGACTCTTGGCATCCTCCTGACAGGGTGATGGGCCCTAGAATTCATCTGCATCATACCTGTGAGGACCTTGTGTCCAGACTGACTGAATTCTGGGTGTGAGTTGGAACACCTGCTGGGGTTCAGAGAAGGCCTGAACAGAGTTCCTAGCCTTTCTTATTTGGAGCATGAGCTCAATCTGAGTTTATGTTGCTCTTACAAGCACAAAATTATAGGAAGCTAAAAAGTAGAGTGGAGAGAGAGAACAGTATGGATGCTGGAATGAGAACACAGGTACACAAGTGGATGATCAAAAGCACCACTGAATCATTTTTCACTCTTTGCCTAAACAAAGTACAAAGGGAAAGTGTTAGATCATGTTGTGGTTCAGCAATCCAGCAGTTCTGGACCTAGGGCAGTTATAAAAACATCCAACAGGTTCCCAGAGTGGAAGTCAAGACTGTTCAAAGACTCCTCGTCTGCCGGGTCCTGTGGGCACAAGAGCGGTGCAGTACCGGGTGCTCTGTGGTCACACAGAGGCTCCTGGTGCAGGTGCGGGGAGAGTCCCCGGATGGGGGGGACGGCAGACTGTCCGCTCCCTTACTCGTCTCTCCCTGTCCTGTGTCTGGGTCTGGTCCAGGGTGGGGGTGTACTGACTCTATCCCAGCCCTTAGGTTACTCATCTAAGGAGGAGACAAAACGTAGGTAACTCATCACAATTCAGGTTGGTGAGGACTCTAATGAGGAATTAAATTTTAGAATGCTACTGATCCAAAAATTAGTGAACAATAATTACTCACCCATGAAGAAAGAATGAAATGTTGCCATTTGCTGCAACATGGATGAATTTAGAGAATAATATTCTTAGTAAAGTAAGTCAGAGAAAGACAAATATAGTATCACTTATACATGGAATCTAAAATAATACAAATGAATCTATAAAAAAATAGAAATAGACTCAGAGACATAGAAAAGAAACTTACAATTACCAAGGGGGATTGGGAGGGAGAGAGGAACAAATTGGAAACATGGGATTAATAGACACACTGCTATTTGTCAAATAGATAAGTAACAAGGATTTACTGTAAAGCACAGGAAATTTTATTCAGTATCTTGTAATAACCTGTAATGGAATATAATCAGAAAAAATAACTGAAATACTATACTATATACTTGAAACTACCATATTATTTTAAGTGAACTATACTTCAATATATTTTTTAAAAATTGTGAACAATTTCAACCTGGAGAGGTTCTAGAATAATTTGGAGGGATGCATGTTTGAGAGGACCTTAATGAGTGAACTAGCTAAGGTATTCTTTTTTTTTTTTTTTTTTTTTTTTTTTTTTTTTTTTTTTTTTTTTTTTTTTTTTTTTTTTTTTTTTTTTTTTTTTTTTTTTTTTTTTTTTTTTTTTTTTTTTTTTTTTTTTTTTTTTTTTTTTTTTTTTTTTTTTTTTTTTTTTTTTTTTTTTTTTTTTTTTTTTTTTTTTTTTTTTTTTTTTTTTTTTTTTTTTTTTTTTTTTTTTTTTTTTTTTTTTTTTTTTTTTTTTTTTTTTTTTTTTTTTTTTTTTTTTTTTTTTTTTTTTTTTTTTTTTTTTTTTTTTTTTTTTTTTTTTTTTTTTTTTTTTTTTTTTTTTTTTTTTTTTTTTTTTTTTTTTTTTTTTTTTTTTTTTTTTTTTTTTTTTTTTTTTTTTTTTTTTTTTTTTTTTTTTTTTTTTTTTTTTTTTTTTTTTTTTTTTTTTTTTTTTTTTTTTTTTTTTTTTTTTTTTTTTTTTTTTTTTTTTTTTTTTTTTTTTTTTTTTTTTTTTTTTTTTTTTTTTTTTTTTTTTTTTTTTTTTTTTTTTTTTTTTTTTTTTTTTTTTTTTTTTTTTTTTTTTTTTTTTTTTTTTTTTTTTTTTTTTTTTTTTTTTTTTTTTTTTTTTTTTTTTTTTTTTTTTTTTTTTTTTTTTTTTTTTTTTTTTTTTTTTTTTTTTTTTTTTTTTTTTTTTTTTTTTTTTTTTTTTTTTTTTTTTTTTTTTTTTTTTTTTTTTTTTTTTTTTTTTTTTTTTTTTTTTTTTTTTTTTTTTTTTTTTTTTTTTTTTTTTTTTTTTTTTTTTTTTTTTTTTTTTTTTTTTTTTTTTTTTTTTTTTTTTTTTTTTTTTTTTTTTTTTTTTTTTTTTTTTTTTTTTTTTTTTTTTTTTTTTTTTTTTTTTTTTTTTTTTTTTTTTTTTTTTTTTTTTTTTTTTNGATTACTTTGGCTATTCGAGGTTTTTTGTATTTCCATACAAATTGTGAAATTATTTGTTCTAGTTCTGTGAAAAATACTGTTGGTAGTTTGATAGGGATTGCATTGAATCTATAGATTACTTTGGGTAGTATAGCCATTTTGACAATATTGATCCTTCCAGCTAAGGTATTCTTTATCTAAATCTAGCTGTGAATGAATTTGGTCAAAGATAGTTTCAAAGAGAATCTCTCATTCCCAGGTCATTAAAGTGAAGCTTGGTGTGAACAGGAGTTTAGGGTCACATGGAGTATTCTCTTTGGCAGGTGTGTGACCACACAGCCCAGGAGGCAGTGGTTTCCTCGCCTCCAGCCTCCCTGACTTTCTCTGTCGTGTGTCTGTCTCTGCTTCCCCAGCTCGGAGCCCGGTGTTTTCCCACTTAGCATCTTCTCTCCGGGGACTCTGGACCATCCGGGCGTACAAAGCCGAAGAGAAGTTTCAGGACCTGTTCGACGCATATCAGGATTTGCATTCAGGTCTGTAAGTTTCTGGAAATGATTTCAAGATGGGATGTGCTGCCTTCTGAGGCCTGATCTCCATCCCAGGTGGCCTAGTAGGCCAGCACCTCTCTCTCTGTGTCACCCCCATGTCCCCCTCTGCACACCCGCCTCCCCCACCCCTTCCTCTCAGCATCCCTACAGTGCTCCCTTCTTCTCCGTCATCCCCTGCTTTTCTCCCCTGACTGGCTTGTATTGTCCTTCCATCACTGTGCCCTGTGAAATCTGTCTCTGTAGGGTTGAAGTCAATAAACTTTTCTTTTTTTGCAAAGATCCAGTTAGAAAATATTGTAGGCTTTGTGTGCTATACTGTGTCTGATGCAACACTCACCTTTGCTGTTGTAGCACAAAGACAGGCAAAGATACTACATGGGCGAATGGCTGTACCTGTTTTCCAATAAAACTTCCTTTTCAGAACCAGGTGGTGGCTGTTCTTGTCCCCCAGGCTGTGGTTTGCCAACTCTTTTCAGAGCCGGGGGAGTACCAGACATGATTGACAAAACTAATTTCCTGATTTGCCACCCGCTTGATTATACTTTGTATCGGTGAAGTTGATTTTCCTAGGTAGAAAATTCAGAATTTCCTCTAAGTCTGTAAAATCCTGGTCAAACTTTCCAATTGTTATTGTATTTTGAAGATAGCATGACATTTTGAAAGTCACATGCAGATACTGTTATCTGATGGCCATGTAGACACTGGCTCCTAAGAAGAAACACTGCAGTCCCTTGTGATAAGTGCAGAAGGTGCTGGAAACAGTGTGAGCTGAGCTGTCTGATGTCAGAGAGCTGGCAACAGTTGACATGTGAGAGGATGATCTTGACATTGAGGCCCAGCACTGCAGGGAACACACCAATGAGACAATTTTTCATCTTCTTTCTTGTGATCATGTTTCTGTTGATAACCAGTGGGTTGACGTTTTCAATGCATGCTTTCTGGACTGATTCCTGTGTGTCCCATACCTTGTCTTGTGTTATAACCTTGTTTTCAGGTTCCTTGAATGTGTGACTTTGCTGTCCTATCTTGTGTAAAATCTGTAGCTCAACTGAAGAAATGCTCTCCCTCGTGAGAAGCAGCTAACATGGTTTTTCTTTTTATGTATTATGCTTATTATGGTCCACAAATCCAGAGGCTTGGTTCCTGCTTTTGACGACATCCCGATGGCTCGCTGTGTATCTAGATGTCATCTGTGCCATCTTTGTCACTGTTGTTGCCTTTGGGGCTCTGATTCTGGTAGAAAGTAAGTACCAACGTGAACATTTGTAGTATGTTTACAGTTTATAGCTTTGTTTGTAGTTATTAAACTCTTGCCATCTTGTCTAATATATGCCATTTGGCTCTAGTGAATTAAAGTGTTTGCAGCATGTGACTCCACATTGTGGTCCATGTGAAGTGATTTGTATCTTGATGAGAACTTTTATCTTTTTTTCCATTTACTTATTTATATACAGTAGGTCCTTGTTGAGAACTCTTTAAAAAATTTTGATTGGCATATGGTTGATTTATGATGTGTTAGATTCAGGTGTACAGCCAAGTGAATCTATACATACATACATGTATACATATATATATAATCTATACATATATCCACTTTTTAAAGGACTCTTTTTCTGTACCCCATGAACATTGGGGTGCATGTATCTTTTTTTGGTAATTTGCATTTTAATTAGTAAGTCAAATAAAGTGTCCTTTAGAAAAGAATTTCTGTTTTGGACTTTCAGAATTTTTAAGACCAAAGATCAGATATGAAAGTGCCTCCAGCAGAACTGTGGTGACTTGGGCCCCTGCTTTGGCTGACTCAGACCGTTCTTTTAAGTTTTATTGGTTTACCCTGTTGTCTTAGTTTGTGGTGTATAGCAAAATGAATCTGCTATATGTATACATACATCCACCCCTTTTTAGATTCTTTTTCCACATAGGTCATTACTGAGTTCCTTGCACTTTACATTTGTTTCTTATTATTTATCTATTTTAATATTTTATACATAGTAGTGTGTATGTGTCAATCCCAGTCTTTCAATTTATCCCTCCCCTCCCTTATCCCCTGGTAAGCTATAAGTTTATTTTTTACACCTGTGACTCTACTTCTGTTTTGTAGATAAGTTCATTTGTAGCCTTTTGTTAGATTCCACATATAAGCAATATCATATTCTATGTTTTTCTGTCTGACATACTTCATTCAGTATGAAAATCTCCTGGTTGCTGCAAATGACATTATTTCACCCTTTGTTGTGGCTGGGTAATATTCCATTGTATATATGACACCATATCTTCCTTATCCACCTGGGTATTGATGAACACCCAGGCCGCTTCCATTTCCTGGCTATTGTGAATAGTGCTGCAGTGAACACTAGGGTGCATGTATCTTTTGGAGTTATGGTTTTCTCTGGATATGTGCCCAGGAGTGGGACTGCCAGACCACATGGTAGCTCTGTTTTTTTTGTTTTTAAAGGAACCTACATATTGTTCTCCATCGTGAACAATAATGTAAACTGTTCTCCAGTTTACATTCCCACCAAGAGTGTAAGAGAGTTCCCTTTTCTTCATATCCTCTCCAGCATTTACTGTCTGTGGACTTTTTGATGATGGTCATACTGACTAGTGTGAGGTGAGACCTCACTATAGTTTTGATTTGCATTTCTCTAATAATTAGAGATGCTGACCATCTTTTCACATGCTTTTTGGCTATCTGTATGTCTTCGTTGGAGAATGTCTATTTTAATCTTCTGCCCATTTTTTGATTGGGATTTTTTTTTATATTGAACTGCATGAAATGTTTGTATATTTTAGAGTAATCCTCTGTCAATCACTTCTTTTGCAAATATTTTTCTCCATTCTGCAGGTTGTCTTTACAGTATTGTTTATGGTTTTCTTTGCTGTGCAAAATCTTTTAAACTTAATTAAGTCCCATTAGTTTATCTCTTATTTTCATTGTTCTATGAGATTGATCAAAAAAGATCTTGCTGAAATTTATGTCAGAGTTCTCCCTGTGTTTTCATGTAAGAGTTTTATATTGTCTGGTGTTATGTATATGTCTGTTATCCATTTTGAGTTTATTTTTGTGTATGATATTAGGGAGTGTTCTAATTTTATTCTTTTACACACAGCTGTCCAGTTTTCCAAGTACCACTCATTGAAGAGACTGTCTTTTCTCCATTGGATATTCTTGCTTCATTTGTCATAGGTGACTTAGGTGCATGGGTTCATCTCTGGACTTTCTATCCTGTTCCCTTGATCTATATTTCTGTTTTTGGTGCTAGCAGCATACTGTTTCAGTTACTGTAGCTTTGTCATATAGTCTGAAGACAAGGAACCTGATTCCTCCCAGTTTAGTTTTTCTTGTTTTTCTCAAGATTGCTTTGGCTTTTCATGGTATTTTGTGTTCCCATACTAAATGTAAAATTTTTTGTTCTAATTCTGTGAAAAATGCCATTGGTGATTTGATAGGGATTGCACTGAATCTGTAGATTACTTTGGGTAGTTTATTTATTTATTAACAGTAGACCTTTTTGAGATCTTTTATCTTTTTATCTTTCTTTAAATGGGTTGAGGTCTATACAACTCTAGTAAGCTGACCTTCTGAACATTCCAGGTAGTGTCCTATAGGTGTATGGAGAGAAACAAATTTACTGTTAAGCTTTTTGTACAGCTTAGGGTTTAGGTTTAACTTTAGGGCTACTTGGATCTCTTGGTTGTAGGTATCTGGTGTACTGGGGAGAGAAAGATTCTCTGTAGCAAAGAACAATGTCGTCATTGTTGTGTGGGTACCAGATGAGCAGCTGTTGGAGTGCATGGCATGAATTCAGCATCCCTAACTACTCCATAGTAATAACCCCGAATCAGTCTTTGATAATGGAACAACAAGAGTAATACTTTAGATTTAAAAGCACTGGCTCTTAAGAACTATTGCCTTGTTTTTGTGGTTGCAACTGCAACTACATTGGCTGTAGAAAGTGAAATTATATAATGAAAATTGAAGCCATAAGAACAAAAATCTGAATAAGGACATATGAAAGTGAAAGTCACTCAGCTGTGTCCGACTCTTTTGAGACCCCATGGACTATTGCCTGCCAGGCTTATCTGTCCATGGAATTCTCCAGGCAAGAATACTAGATTGGGTTGCCATTCCCTTCTCCTGGGGATCTTCCCAACCCAGGAATTGACCTGGGTCTCCTGCATCACAGGCAGATTCTTTACAAGCTGAGCTACCAGGAATGACATGACCACCTTAATAATAAGCCACCTTAATAATGGCATGACCCTCACCTATATAATACTGTTAAGTGTATCTCAATCCAGTTGGGATTAATAGGATAAGTGACAGAAACGGTAAGGACCTATGAGAAGCAGAAGAGATTAGGAAGAGCTGGCAATAATACACAGACGAACTGTACAGAAAATATCTTAATGACCTGGATAACCATGATGGGGTGGTCACTCACCTAGAGCCAGACTTCCTGGAGAGTGATATCAAGTGGGTTTTTGGAAGCGTTACTACGAACAAAGCTAGTGGAGGTGATAGAATTCCAGCTGAATTATTTAAAATCCTAAAAGGTAGTGCTGTTGAAGTGCTGCACTCATAGATGAGTAAATCTGGAAAACTCAACAGTGGTACCAGGACTGTAAAAGATCAGTTTTCATTCCAATCCCCAAAATGGGAAATGCCAAAGAATGTTCAGACTACCATACAGTTGCATTCATTTCACATGCTAGTAAAGTTATACTCAAAATCCTTCAAGCAAGGCTTCAACAGTTCATGAACTGGAGACTTTGAGATGTATAGGCTAGGTTTAGAAAAGGCAGAGGAACCAGATACCAAATTGCCAACATTTGATGGCTCATAGAGAAAACAGGAGAATTCCAGGAAAAGATCTGCTTCATTGACTACACAGAAACCTTTAATTGTATGGATCACAACAAACTGTTAAAAATCCTGAAAGAGATAGGAATACCAGACCATTTTACCTGTCTCCTGAGAAAATTGTATTCAGGTGAAGAGCAACAGTTAGTACCAGACATGTAACATGGACTAGTTCAAAATTGGAAAGAAGTACAAGGCTGTATTTTGTCACCCTGCTTATTTAACTTATATACAGAATACATTATGTGTAATGTACCAGTACCAGGCTGGATGACTCACATGCTGGAATCATGATTGCTGGGAGAAATATCAATAACCCTAAATATGCAAATAATAACACTCTAATGGCAGAAAGTGAAGAAACTAAGAGTCTATGGTAATAAAATATCCCACTGATAGAAAGAAAACTGACTGCCAAAGAATTGATGCTTTTTAATTGTGGTGCTAGAGAAGACTCTTCGGAGTTCTTTGGACTGCAAGGAGATCAAACCAGTCAATCCTAAAGGAAATCAGTCCTGAATATTCATTGGAAGGACTGATGCTTAAGCTGAAGCTCCAATAGTTTGGCCAGCTGACACAAAGAACCAACTCATTAGAAAAGACCCTGATGCTGGGAAAGACTGAGGGCAGGAGAAAAAGGGGATGACAGGATGAGATGGTTGGATGGCATCACCAACTTGACAGACATGAGTTTGAGCAAGCTCTGGGAGCTGGTGATGGACAGGGAAGCCTGGCGTGCTGCAGTTCATGGGGTCACAAAGAGTCAGACACAACTGATTGACTCAACAACAACAACAGCTTTGTTCATTCTTTTTTTTTTTTTTCATATGTTTCTTTTTTTTTTTTCATTTATTTTTATTAGTTGGAGGTTAATTACTTTACATCATTACAGTAGTTTTTGTCATACATTGAAGTGAATAGCCATGGATTTACATGTATTCCCCATCTTGGCTCCACTGGGTCTTAGTTGGGGCATGCGGAATCTTCGGTCTCAGTTGTGACAGGCAGGACTTTAGTTGCAGCATGTGAACTCTTAGTTGTGGGATGTGGAATCTAGTTCCCTGACCAGGGATCAAACCCAAACCCCTGATTGGGAGCTTGGTATCTTAGTTATTGAACCATCAGGGAAGTCCTCATGGTGGGTTTTTTTTTTTTTTTTATATTATCTCAATCAACAGAAGTAATATTATGAGTAATACTATTGTTACATGCAAATGGTTTAAATGTTATAAAGGAGTCTTCTCAGTACTATATATAAAATAGATAACTAAAAAGGACCTTTTGCATTGCAAAGGGAATTCTATTTAATACTCTGTAATGACATATATGGGAGAATAACTTTAAAAGAGTGGATTATATATATGTGTGTGTATATATATATATGGCTAATTCACCTTACTGTACACTTGAAACTAACGTAGCTTTGTAAATCAACGATACTTCATTAAAAATCATAAAGACAAAGGAATCTTCTTCATAAAGTGACAGAAGGAGCTGTGTGAGAAGTAGACTGACTTTATTCCTCTTCTTCCTCATTTAGCCTTGGATCTCGGGCAGGTTGGCCTGGTCCTGTCTCTCACCCTCACACTTACTGGGATGTTCCAGTGGTGCGTCAGGCAAAGTGCTGAAGTGGAGAATATGGTGATGTTTATCTTTCCATTCTTAGCATTTCCAAGTCTCCTTGCTGTTAAATGGCATAAAAGCAATTCTTATGTAAAATAGTAAAACTATTATTTTTACATCATAGTTAACAAAGTTTTTTAACATTCTTCTCCATCTCCTTGAAGTTAATGTAAAATGAAATGTATATATCTTTTCTCAGTCTTATGTGTGCCATGTGAGAAGGTTTTATATTTATCACAAACTGTCCTCAAATACAATAAATGTCTCTGTAGGAAAGAGGTTCTGAAATCCTGGAGAGAAGCTAATTTCTTAGCAGCTTATTTATCTTTGTTTCTTAATGAGTAATTCCTCGTGTTTGGTAAAATAACAAATTCAGTTTTTTGAGGTTTATTTAATTAATATGCTCTTTCTTCTGCCCCACCCGCATTTTATCATTTATTCACGTATGTGTTGAACATCCGAATTTGCTGGTGGCCCTTCTTTCTGATAGGATAAGCTCACTCTCAGAATGTGCTCTCTAAGATGTGGAGTCATGGTGGCTTAGGAGGCTTTAGTCAGTATGTAAATTATAAACTTTTGAATATTTGCAGCTTTTCCTAAAGGGAGAAAAACAATAAAAATGAAATCTTCCCACTTCTCTCTTCTAATATAATAGAAAATGACTTTCAATTAAGTGGAGGTTTGATGACCATCCAGTTCTGTTATCTATGACACAAGGCCCTTCTGTAGCCACACATTACTGAATGGTGTCTATAATATTCTTTTCTTTGACAAAATGCTCTTGTTTTTCATTCAGGTGTGAAAAGTGGATCAATAAAATCTTACCATTCATTTCTCTAATTCTTTTAGTGTTAATATAAAGTTGAAGGGAATAGTCATAAGTAAAAGTGTTGAAGATGATGAACAAGTTTGCAAATCATCCAAGGCCTCATCAAACTCCTACTTCTATCCTTTGTGGATGCTAAGACCTGGGATATTCTGAACCATAGAAAAGAAGATATAAAGATAAAAAAGCAAAATGTCTCATCTAGTCTCTAAATATCCATAAACATGACCCTCTGACAGTAACTCATGTGATGTCATATGTGTTTCAGATGATTTCAGTAGAAAGAGTGATTGAATATACAGACCTTGAGAAAGAAGTGCCCTGGGAATATATATATCGTCCACCACCATCCTGGCCCCATGGAGGAAAGATTATCTTTGATTTTATTAACTTCAGGTACAGCTTGGATGGGCCTCTGGTATTGAAGAACCTGTACACGCTCATTGACCCAAGAGAAAAGGTTAGTTTAAGCCATTTGCCTCTTTAAAATCCAGCTAAAGATTTAGCACCACGTCTGCTCTTGGTTTCCTTGTCAGTATGTCAGGGGTGGGGGGAGGGCTCTTTTTACTTCATGGATGCATATTTAATCAGTGTTATGTAGGTGAATCCTTCTTGAAAACTGACTGTGGAATGGGGATACAAGCATTTATTATCCACTGTATTGTGAGCTCCTTCATGGTGGTTGGTGGGCCCTGGGCTCAATTTTAACCTGACCCAGGACACTGTATGTAACACCTGATCATTCATGCAAAGTCTGGAAAGTCAGCCCTGTCTCCCTGCCCCTAATTCTCCAGTATCTCCTTGCCATCTTCTTTGTATTTCTGAAATCTTCTCTTCCTCCCACGGTGCCCTCTGGTTGCAGCCTGCTCCTCTGTCCCTGGGTTTTTGCTATGGACTTGTCCTCCACTCACCCACACTGAGCTGTCATCCCCCTGCCCTCCCCCACAGACTGCTTCTTTCTTTAGCACAGATCTGATCCTTACTGGCCTGGGCGAGCTGCTGCTGGAACCAGACCACAGCCCTAAGTCCACTCCAGCAGGGTCCGTGGGGTGAATTTGTTACTACTAGAGGAGAGCCCAGAATCATGATTCAGTCAGGGGTAAGGAATCGGGGCCTCTGATGGAGGCAGGGCCTAGAGATTTGCTCAAAGTCAAAAGCAAATTGAAGAGAGCTGGGAAGATCCACATGGGAGTCATCAGAGAGGCTTGTGACCTGAACCTGCCACTGTCCATGTCTGTTGTGACGTTCCTTTATACTCAACTTGAGGCCCTTGGCCTGGAGCAGGGCAGTCTTGAAGAAGAGAGTAAACCAGAGCAGACAAGTTTGTAGGAAGTTCTTCCCCACCTCCCTCTGCAGTCAGAATGTCTCCTGACTAACACACACCACTGCACTCGGGTTGTGTGTTGGTTCTCCCAAAGCACCACATCCTCCCAGCTTCCAGTGTGCAGTCTGCTCTCTGCCTCAGAGACCTTCCCCTCTGTCATCTGGATGGTGAAAGTCTCCTCATTTTCTGAGGTGACTCTAATGCGTCTTCTAAGACATCAATTCTGCCTCAGTGTCTTAGATGCTCTTTGAAGGTAGTATTCACAGTACGACTATGTTCAAAGCAGTCAAGAGTTGGAAGGAACTAAATCCTTACAATGAAATATTCAATATTTAAAAGTAGGAAAATTCTGACCTATGGCTAAACCTTGACAACATCTTGATAAATGAAATAAGTCAGACACGGAAGGAATGAATACTCTGATTCTGCTTATGTGAGGCTCCTACAGTAGTCAAATTCAGGAAGACAGGATGTAGGATGGTGGTCTCAAGGGACTGGGGGAGGGGAAATGGGGAGTTGTTTGTATAGTGGGTATAGAATTTCAGTTTTACAAGGCAAAAAAAAAAAAATTCTCAAGCTTGGCTGCACACCATGTGAATGTACTGAACACTAAACTGTCCACTTAAAAATGGTTAAGTAGTTAAATTTTATGTTATGTGAAATTTATCATAATTAAAATGTAAGATAGTATTTGTGTCATGCTTTGTAGTTTGAGGTCTGTGTCTCACGGTACCTTGAGACTTTTTAAAATCAAGGAGCATCTTATTTTCATCTGGTGGCATTCTGCAGGGCATAGGGAGGGTGCTGTGGGACTGCTGTCTGCAAGGGTGAGTAACACACAGGTGTGAGCAGCCAGTAACCAGAGCTTACACGCAAGACTACCGCGTGAACAGCTGAAAGAACTGCTCTTTAATTCTTTCAGCCACAACCCCCTACTGGACTATAGCTGTAAGTTAATAAATGATAACCTCATAACATGAAAGTAAATATTCGACTTATTGCCAAGATGATACCCAGGGAGCAGCTTCAGTTAGTTGCAGCGCTAAAGGTGACTCATAATTATTTCCATTTCTATTATAGTTCAGGAAGAAACTGAGGACTGTTATGCTGGGAAAACATTAGCCACATCTCTTGATACACTCCTGTCCCTGAGAGCACTGTAGGTGATGTTAGCTTACTCTCAGACAGTGGGTCTGTCGGATTCCCTGTTGTAAATGTGATTTTGTTAACTTGCACTTATCTTAATTTTCCCCAAAGCCATAAAATAGGAATTATTTAAGAAACTCTGAAGTACAACTGAGGGATATAGTAGATTCTACTCGTCCTTAAAACCTGAAAATCATAAGATTATCGAGATGCTAAAATATTTGAAGGCAAATTGAATTTTGAAACGGAATTAATAATTGTGGCAACTTGACTTTTGATCTCTGACTTGGTCCACTCCCCGTATCACACTACAGTTCAGTTGCTCAGTCGTGTCTGACTCTTTGCGACCCCACGGAATGCAGCACGCCAGGCCTCCCTGTCCGTTATCAACTCCAGGAGCTTGCTCAAACTCAAGTCCATCGAGTCAGTGATACCATCCAACCATCTCATCCTCTGTCGTCCCCTTCTGCCATATCAGTTAGCTTCATTTCTGTGTTTGGAGATGATATCCAGGCAGTGTGTTCATGAAGTGATTCTATTCCACCTGTGAACATCCCAGGTTCCCTCTCCTGCTAACCTGCCCCACCCCATCACTCTGGGTCACCCCTTTGGTGTTGGGTTTGTTTGAAAGAGGCTGATGCGGGGGATGTGGGAGTGAGCCCACCCAGCAGAAATGGGGCTTTATCGTCTTTCCATTGTTTCCTCTGCTGTCCGGATTCCTGAAAGTTAGAGTCAACAAAAAAGTGTAGTAGGTACTACATAGAATCCTAATTCATGGAAGAAGTAGCAAGTAAAAATAGAGACTCAAAATGAGGTAAACATCACCTTAGTCTTCCTGGTTAGATTCTGAACACTGGCTGCAATTTTATTTTAGATTGTTTGTGGTTGATTTAATGATTTTAGAGTTCTGGGCAATTTTTTCTTTTCATTTATTAGAAAGATGGTAATGATAACCCTATATGCAAAACAGTTCTGGGCCATTTTAAAGCATTTTCCAGCTCTCGAGATAGATTGGTTTTGGTTTGTTATTTTTTCTTGCTCAGAGCTCTTACTTGTTTTTTTTTTTAATTTTTTTTATTTTTATTAGTTGGAGGCTAATTACTTTACAACATTGCAGTGGTTTTTGTCATACATTGAAATGAATTAGCCATGGATTTA